AAAAAAAAATAATTTTACTAACCATATTAAAATAATCAGAATGGCAATATCCCCTTTACACCCGTTATTAGTATCTCACTGTCTAAATAGTTTTATCGAAATTATGTGAATTAGAATTGTATCTAAGATTAAATTGTCTAACGTGTGACTAAGTATAGAAACACTGCATTAGTTTACGACACCGCACTTTAAAAATACTTTTGATTAGGAATATTTGTGAAATTCATTTAGACCTTTTAATTTTAAAATTAGCCTCTCCAAAAATTCAGAAAAATTACATGTATGATTATACATGTATAAAAAAAATTAGAGGGTTGGAGAATTGCATACAATGAACTCATCCAAATGTTTTATTAAAATTGCGCCTATGGTAAAATATAACTTACTAACAAGTTAAGTTTCAGAACTTTTTATATTAAGTGAAACATAATAATACCTTACAAAATCTTTATAGCATAAAGAAATTAAGTTATGGTTTAGACCACTTCTTTTCTGGAACCAGTAGCGATGACTCTTTATGGCTTATATAAATCATTACAGGGTTCTCCTCTACCAATTGATAATTCAGGAGACTGGTAGAGACGAGCATATACAGGAAGTTTAAAAAGTAAGAAAACTGGTCAATTGTTACAAATAATGAGAAAAATAGAAACTCTTTTCCTTACTTACTGAACAACCTGTATAATTCACGAAAAAATTGTGAACTTTTTTCGTGTAAGGTGTTCGAAAACAGTTCGGTTTTTATCAACAATGAAGAAACTATTTTCTTTTCGTATTAAATACTACGTGTGTTAATTTAATTTATAGTATATAAAATTGAAATATTTTGTAAGAATCTACATTATCCGCCTTCATACAAGGACGAACTTGCCCACTGCGATCATTGTGCCTACGACAGAAAAGTAGATAGCCAACCGACCAAGTACTAAGGTGGTGCGGCGACAGCCACGATTATTAACAATTTATTTTTGTTTGTTTTATATTTTAATATTTGATTGATTAAAATAAATGTATTTTTTTCATATTGTACAACAAATATGTAGTTACACAAACATAATTATGTTGAATCCATATTATCCATGATTAGTAAAATGTTTAGAAGAAATAGAATAATTTTAATTAATTAACCAGAGTAGCTTAAATATCATAACTAAAAATAATTTAGGTGTTTATAATGTTGGAACTCCCTAATGTTGCCCTAAATGATTAAATTCGTCTAAAATAATTGAATTTTTAAGCAAAAATATATAATTTCCTGGGTTGGTAAACATAGAATGTTTTCTAATACAGTGTGGGCCCAATACCCCTCAGTCCACACATGTCTGCTTATTAAATGTATGTTAGATCCACTGCCTGATTCTTAATATTCCATCACAATTTGCGTTTCCCTATGAACTAATAATATAACATATTTTATTTTTAGATACAAAAATATAAGACATCACATAAAAAATACAATGTAAATTTTTACTTGTATAAATGATTTGCTATCTCTTTTTTTTTTATTGCGTTAAGATTAAATATACATTATGTTAAAAAAGTTATTTCCAAGAAGTATTCAAAATAGACTAATATCTTATATCTTAATTGAAAGAAATTGACGTAAGCATATTGAATACAAAGAAGTGTAAGTACTAAATGTTATTAATAAAGAGATAGTTAAATAATTCGTCACTTTATAGCTACTACCTGAAGGCTAAATAACAAAAACACACATAGGATTACTTGTGAATAGCATAATTACAGCAAATATTGCTCAATTAATTTTTGTTTTAATATATTAAAACTCAACAAAATTGTATAATCTCAAATAAATTACATTTAAAGTCGTATTTTCACAAAACACTCATTTTATTTTTATGTATACACTGATTTATGAGTGTATAAAAACACGCTAAAAAGTTTATTTATTGATTAAACTTATTAAATGTATTCTACCAATATTTAGTATAATTTTATATTACAATAAGATTTAACATGAGTACTTACAAAAGTCAGTGCAAGTGTTATCTTATTATCTTTTAAATTACATAATTTTATACCTACATTTAAATATTACAATAATTCAGCATTATTTTCATATGTAGCTTATTATATTAGGTCAATAACATTTTATAGAGAGATAATGTAAAACTTTAATTTATTAAAAAAAATAATAAACTCGTTTGATTATTTTGTAGCGCTGGTACCGTATTACCTACCTTCATCCCTGTGATTAACAACATTTAGAAAAAGTAGGTTATGTTATCTTTTTGTTACACGTGTATTGTTTTCGTTACTTTTTTGATTTTTAAAATAAAAGCAGATATATTTTTTATTACTATTATTTTTTTTTAAGAACAATTTGTAGAAATAATACAACAAGTTTTGTGAGTATATGAGAATCGATTCTAAGAAGGTAAGATACAAGTACTGATGCCAATACAATTTTGTCAACTTACCCTCTCACAATTAATTGTTAAAAATTTAAATCTGTATAACGAATTACATTTTTCTTTATAGTTCCGTGTAGTAAATGTATGTACGAACCGAGTAATGAGTTAAATCCCATTAAAATAATGCTTACAAATCAAGTACCAAGTAAAATCTGAATCAAGAAATGTTTATAAACAAAGTACTCATAAGCAGAGTAACCGAAATATCTCTAATAATTACATAATTTTCTTTGGGACGATTAAACAAAATATAAAGTGTGGCTACTTACAATATATGTTTAAACATTTTTTAATTATAAGCATTGTTAGAGAATCAATTGTTAAGTGTTCGGTACTAAAAAATTTTTTATAAAGATATCCTATTGGTAAACAAAATTTTTTCCAAATTGTTATTGATCAAAACTATAATCAAATATTATTACCCTGAGAATTTAAATATCCATTTAACATTTTTTACAATAGTACTGGTTATAAATAAAATACAAATTTATCTCATTTAGTACCCTACCTAAATGATTACAATATTTTTTTTTGTATTTCCTTATATACTGTTATTACTAATTTATCTTTGACGCCTTTTTTAAAAAGCTATGCTAGTGTTAAAGAGAACGGGAAAACCTACAAAGCTCAGCGCAACGGAATCGAACTTTTGTATCCAAGTATCGATAAACACGTTCCCGAATGAGCCAAGTAGGACGCCAATGTTACTTTTTATCAATTGTGTTAATACTCTCACCTGTTATGTTAATATTTTTTAATAAAAATTTGAATGAGAAAAATTATTAATTTTAATTAAAAATACTTAATAATAAAAATTAAAAAAAAAGTTTTTTTAATATTAAAGCCAAAGAAAATTTAGGTCAAAAAGCTACTCTATAAGGAGCTGAATAGATACCTATATTATACTTTATTCCACAATTATAGATAACATTTTAGACCACAGTAAACCATGCTAAATCATCCAGAAGTGGTTGCCTCATTATTTCTTAAATTTTCGGGGTTTATTCTTTATGTTATATTTAGATTAAAACAATTTTTTTTATGACCTTCCCATTTTTATGGCTATTTTAATGTGAAAAATGTTAAAAATAGCCAGAACGTTAAAAAACACACATATTGTATACACAAATGTAAACCACATTTTTGTAATTGTTTTATATATTATTGTATATGTAATATATTACGATTCAATATAATTATTATATATTTTATATAATTATTTAATTCATTATTTCAGTTGCAAAATAAAAATAAATAAATAAAATTATTATGATAATATTGTAAAATATTTTAATAAATAATCATGGTTTTATTCTAGTAGTTAGAATATTGTGTCTTCATAAATATCATCAGTTAATGATATTTTAAAGCTTTTTGTGGTACTGTTATTAATTGGTAAAAATCTGTGTTTTTCCTTATTCCTGAGAATAGTTTTACACAATTTAAATCTCATATTAGGTATTTTTCATTTTAATAAGATTTTATTAAAAAGATCCTTCAACCACCTTAGGCCAACACCGTCTAATATTTTCCATACTTCTACTAGCACTTCATCTGGTCATACTGCTTTATTCTTTTTCATTGATGTCACAACCTCTCATACCTCTTTTTGCTAATTAAATCTACCAATCCTTGTTTCCATGAGATATCCTCTAATTTCACCCTTAGATACTACTCATTCAGTAATTTTTATAAATACTCTTTCCACCTTTTTTCACATCAATATCGCTCGTAGTACCCTTTTATCATAATTTTTTATACACCTTACCTTGTGATAATCTTTAGACTGTTTTTCTCCTACTGTTACAAGTCTATAGACTACTTTTTCACTTTCCTATGTTCCTAGCGTATCAAACAACACATCGTACCTTTTAAACTTCGCATTACTTACTGCACACTTGTCTTCTTTACACATTCATTCTACTTCACTTTTGTTTTTTAGTCATATTTTGAACTACCTCGTATTACTTTATAATTTTCTCAACGTCCTCATCGCACCACCAGTTTCCTTGTTTCCTGTCATTCTACTTCTACTCTCACCTTTTTTAAAAAAATTTTTGTTTTGCTTTTTCCAATTTTTACTACCGGGTCCTTAATTCTCCTCCCGTGTTCTTTCGGTTTTTGCATATTCTCTTTCCACTACACCACAATACCATCACCATCATTCTGTTTTGTAGTTATATTCTTTCCTGGGCTGACTTTACAATCTTTTACTCGATTTACAATCTCACTCTTCCTCATAAAATAATCAATCTTTGATCTAATACATGATTAATTTAACTAAATTACAAAAAAAAAATAGTAGCTATAATAGATAACAATTTTTGTATGTACATATGGTAGAATTCGTAAACGATATACTAAGATGTACTGTGTAAATTAAATTAATATTCTAACTTAATCATATTTTTCATTGTATAGAATGTTTTTTATTTCTATATAAAACATTTTGTAAAATTGTTGTTTGCTCTAATCAATTTCCCCTCAAATATTCTTTTTAATGCATAAATAATAAATTAATTTTTCTCCACTATTAGCATATTTAAATAGAGCGATTTAACTGCATACACACGTCGTTTCAAAAGTGATAATATTTCGTGAACCAATTTGAATAGATAACTGGATACAGATGTACATATACATATATATAATTTTATTTCGAAAAGTAACCTAATTATTGTAAACACCTTTTTGAAAAGTTATGATAAGAATTGAAGGCAATGTAAACTTATGAATTAGAGATAACTGATAACATATCGGCATTTGAAAATAAATAATTATTAGTAGAATGTTGTCAAATTTTGAATATAATACTATTTTTTTAATAAAATAGTCCCACTTATTAACTATTTAATTTAAACTAAAAATTATTATGGAAGATCTACTTGTACAATTATCTAAAGATGCAGCAAATTCTAAGTTTAGTAGTCTTAGTCAATCAGCAACTGAAGCATATGGTATGGTTCAATGACAACATCTTTAATTGTTTTCAACATTTTTGAAATATTTCAAAATGTATAAATTGAACATTTTTTAATTTTATTGTGTAGTCTTTTTAGAAAAACAGCAAGGAACATTGCGTGATCCAGCCCATGAATTAAGAGCAAAATGCTTAATTGTTTTTAAACAAGCATTTGAAACGAAAAAAAGTAAATTGGTATCACATGCTCTATCTGGACTCAATGTAAGAATTTTTTATGATTGTGAGTCCTTCTCTTTATTGATTTTTTAAAATTATTTTTATTTAGAAAATGATACGAGATGATAGATTTCAATCTAATTTTGAACCTGAAGATGATTCCTTATGGTTGCCATCTCAAATTTTACATGCTATTAACTCCATTTTATCACAATCAGAAGACATACAAATAGATATGTTAAAAGTATTTTTTTAATTTCAACAATTAATATTCATTTTTTATTTTAATATGTCATGGAAATGATACAGAATGCCCAACGTCATAATAATTAATTTTGCTAAATTCGATGTCTCAACTAGAACAGACATTTATATTATATAAAAAATAAGAATAATAACAATTAAAATTCAAAAATACTTATTGCTGAGTTATTTAGCCCATGCAGAGAATTCATAAATGATCAATTAATTTATAGTTATTCAAACTCTAGGTATTATTAAATGTTGCTTGTTCATCTTATTGGACTATGAATGGGCGCATTATTATACAGATACTTACAATCTCATGTGAAGTATATGAAAATGGAAGTCAAGGAATTCAATCTGCTGCTCAAGCTGCAGTTAGTCAAACACTAAGATATTTTTGTAGTTATTTAGGTATTAAAAAATCTTATTTTATTTATGAAATAGTGAGGCTTAAAATAATAATGTATCAAACATATCCAGTACCATTGCTATGATTTGTAAGGTCTTAAGAAAAATACCAACACAAAGTCCCAAACTTAATTAACTTACAACCAAATGACCTTATTTTTTATCATATTTTTACTGATCTCAAAATTACAAAAAAAAAACATGGGGCCTTACACATTAAAAAAATATATTTATCCCTTTTACTTTTGCCTTCAATTATCTATGAATTGTTCTATTTATTTAAAATGATAAATTAAATCCTCTCTTTATTTTTCACTCCTAAAATACTTAGCTAGTTTTATAAATTATGGACTTGACACTAGGAACATTTTTATGGAACTAACTTAATTTTTAAATTTTCGGTACATCACACTTTTTCAAGTCTTAAAATGTTAAAAAAAATGTATATATATAAGAATTATTTGTTAGCATAACCAACAGATTTTTGTAAGGTAAAATTTTGTTACTTTGGTATCTGATAAAATTCTAATGTATGTTTTAAAATTAAATTTATACCTTGTTAGGTAATTTTACCCTGACACCAACAATATTTTGAAGTAATTTAAATTATTTTTAGTATCATTTTGTTTAGATGAAGAATGTGAAGAAATTAATAAAATGAAGGAAGCTGGTGGTGTATTATGTTTTAATGAAGTGTTGCCAATTATGCAGTTTATTGTTAGTAAAATTGATGAGACCCAAAAGTATGAGTACATTTTTATTTGTATTTATTCATTTAAGGAACAACATTAATTATTATTATTTTTTATAGTGGTAATCGACGAAGTCAAGCTGTAGTATTTTACTTGGAATGTTTACATACATTAGTTGCTAGTTTACCACAAAAAGTTCATGATAACCGACATTTTACAATGTTTTTATGGCAAAGATTATGTCCAGCTCTAATTGCATTTTTAGGATCACCTAGGGTTGATAAAAAAATAATAACTAGAGATCATGATAATAGTAAAAAAATAGGTAGAGGATCTGGAGTTTTAGGAAGTGCACCTAGTTTTAATAGCAATCAGTCTAAAATAATTTACAGGTAATATAAAATTGTTTTGATTCAATTTTAACATTAATTTTTGTATTTTTTATAATGTATAATTAAATATTTAGTAGTAATATTAATTATAAGTATATATGCTAGCTATACTCAATTATAATACTCAGTTTTTTCTTTTTCCAATTTTAGTATTGGCAGCCAGTTAGTAAGAGTTGTTGGTTGTGTTAGTTCTCTCAGGCCAGTTTTGGAATCAGTTTTTCATAGGATGTTATTATATCCTCCTCCAATTTATAGAAGGGATGCATTAAAAGCATTAAAAGAGGTATAGAGTGAATTCTAAATTTATATAATTGTAATACAGATGAGTAATTTTTTAATTTAAAAAAGTGTCTAACTGACAATGTTTTATAACTTTTTTTTTTGAATTATTATTTTGTTGAACATTTTTTAAAATAGTTATTGCCTTATTAGACTATATTTAAGGCTAATTTTAGCTTCGATGCGAAGCTGAGAAGGTATTAATTTTACTATGATGTGTTTTTTTTTTTGTGTCTGTCACTACTTTTTCTCAGCTCTCACCAAACCAATTTCTTTCAATGTTACGTCGAAAGATCACAAATCATACCAGGTCAAAGACATAACTCTTAAAAATATATTATTTCGAGTTTTCACTTCAATATATTAAATATTAGGACTACAATAACTTATTTCTTGTTTTTTTTATCCTTAAATAATGTGCATATATAATTTAAATCTATAACATTAATATTTTATGTTTAGTTATTAAGCTGCCCAAGTAGATTAGTCAATTTTACTGGACCCATTTTGGTTGAAGATGACAAATTATGTCAACAAAGTGATATGGCATTAATTCGTTTGTAAGTAACTATGTTTCATTTTAATTTAAAACTTAAAATGTTTACATTAATCTATAGAGCAATGGATTCGTTAGAAGAATGTGCCAAATGCACAGATTGGGAAATAGTATCAACAAGTGTATTTTGTATTGCCTCATTATTATCCACACTTATTGATCTATCTTGTGGGAAAGGCATAAATAATATTTACTCTGATAAAATAAATAAAAAATTTGACACTTTGTCTAATTGTGATTATACGGGACCTCTAACATATGAATCAATGAAGAGATTACCAAGTTCTTACAGGGAACAATTATCGTCTGAATCATCTTCTGAGAACCAAAGTTGTATAAACAGTTCTAGTTGTAGTAGTAGTAGTAGTGGCAGCACTGAAGGTCCAGAAGAGGGTTATCAAAATGATCCTCAAGTAACTATATTAAATGTCAATAAAATAATACATTTTTTTTTGATACAGCTTATTTTTTTTATAAGATTGATGAAATACAAATAGAAGCTGAAATGAAATTTAAAGAAGAAGCATTACATATGGAACAAGTTTCAAAAAAATTGAGTATGTTAAATGTTATTCAAGTTAATCCAGTAAGAATATTAATTTTAATAAATTGTAATATAATAAAAAAATTATATAAATTTATAATATTACTTGAGGAATTTATCGAAGCAAGAGATAAAGAACGAAGTAATGCCAGTAATTTTGTGAAAACTTTAATTGATTTTTTACCTACACTAATACCACTTAGAAGTACATTACAAATAGATGAAGAAATTCAAAAATTTGCATCAAATTACTGTAAAAGTCAGTATTTTGATTTTTACTAAAACTAGATATTAGTTCAAAAACATGGGTTCATCACAATATTATTGTTTTTTTGTTATTAGCAATCTTTTTTCATAATTACAAACAAGAAGGATCAATCATAATTAATGCTGATGGTGTCTATGTAGCAACTTTTATGACACTTTATTTAAATTTAAAATTAATTCATCAAAATTTTTATGATGATTCTTCATTAACTCCTATAATGTCTGAAGTAAGTGTAATTAGTAATAAGTAGAGCCCAGAGTAATATGCATTTATAAATTTTGTTTGAGTCGCTTTGAAAGGTCCCAAGTTTGTGCAACATAATCGTAAGATAATACAGTAGCATAAAAATATTTTTCGTTATAGAGGGGTAGTCCTCTTAATTCTACCAAAACTATAATCTTGTCAATGACATATAACTAAATTTCTAAATCAATTAATAAAAATATGTACTGGCTGATGATATGTTCGGAATAATTTAACAAAATTGTTTAAGTACATATTGATGACTTAATAATAAGTCATTAACTTCTCAAAAACTTTTACTTAATTATTTGATATATGGTTTATAGTATAGCATATATATATAAGTAATATAAATATTAATTTTTATATAACTTTATTGGGTTCATAAATTTTTTTTTTTGTTAAAAATAATAGTATTCATAAATCATTAGTAAATATTAAAAATAAACATGAAATTCTTTAACTTTGATATTTTTTAGATCATTGATAGTGGGAAGCTTTAATCTTCCATTACTCCCTACATGGGAAATCGAGCTCACTTGAATACCAATCTTCCTGTAAATACGCCACTGAACAGAATATAATAAATAATCAATTATAAAAAATTATGCTATAACTCATTATCAAAATAAATATTTAATATTTTTTTTCTCTATTAAAGAAAATTGAAAAATAATTTTTTCCCCTATAGATTATAATAATTATTTTTATAGTATTTATCAATATTAGTAATATATCTAAAAGGTCTATCAAAAGGAAAAAATTGGTGATTTACTAGAGGTTGAATAATAATATAACTATTACGTTATAAAAACTATTTAGTAGAAAAATTTTTATTGTAAAATATATTTTATTCTTCTTCTTTTTCTTCACCTTAATTCCTGTAAAATACACTCTATTGTTTAAATTTAATGATATTTAAATAATTGTGGTGGAAGCTTATAAAGTTTTAATATTAATATTACTAATAATAAATATTATTATTTATATATTATACAAATAACTTTGCTAAAAATTTAAATGGGAGTGGTTTTTTGACAGGAACAATTTATAGAGGAGATATTCAACAGTGGCATGTTATTGTATGTATCTACTAATTGGCTGGCTGAGCTTTACCAACATATCCTAGTTACTAACCTATTAATGTTGTCTGGTTACAAGCCTCAAATCACTGGTCATTTGGCTCTAATAGATCTATTGACAGGTTGATAAGGGATTCTTTGATTAGCTTTATTTTTGTTTATATTGTGCTTTTATTTGTACTAATGGCTGATTGAATCTTAGTGTTTTTTTTCATTATTTTTTTATGAATTTTTCAGTTATCAAACTTTAAGTTATGCTTAAATATATATTAATACATTTGGAACAGTAGATTAATTTGTTATATCACTTGAATAAAGTGGAATAAGTTATGGTATTTAATAGAGTATAGGTATATTAGATAAAAATTAGAACTTATTATTATTATTTTTTAAATAATACATTTTTGGTTTGTACTTTAATCGCTAATAAAAAATTTAGATTGAAATAAAATCATTAAATATTAAAAAAAACTTGGTTTTCGTTGCACATTGAGATGATTTTACTATGTAAATGATGTTATTAAATGGCTTATAAAATCTAATGAGTATCATAAGCTTTAATAGTTATTTTCTTTTTTACTGTGTAAAGTTACTTTAAATTTATGCATAAATATTTTTCTAATTTTATAGATATTGATGGACACACGTTAGAAAATAAAGTTAATTGTCTTCTATCAGATTGTCTTAGACTTGAACAAACAGTCAGTAATACTGAAGTAAATCAAGATGTTGAAGCTGGTAATTTCAATTATATAAATTATAAATAAATAACCCAGCACAGCGGGGACGTTGCATAGTTTGGTCCAGTATAGATTTAATCTGACAGTGATTAAAATCACTATCATAAAAAATGCTTCGATGCAAATCTGTAAAGAGTATTTAATTTTAAGAAATTGGTGGATAATTACAAAAGCAACATTAACAAAAGTTAAGTTGAAAAAATTAGCTTTTGTAAAAAAGTTGCTATTTTAAATTCTCACCAGTGAGCAGGTTAAGTATTAGATTTTCAAAAAAATTGTATCAAATGAAAGAAAATTACCTAAGGTTTCAATATAAAAAAAGTAAAAAACCCAGCACTGGGGGGTCGCGGCACAGTGGTGACGTGGCATAGTTGGATCAAGTAAATGATATCTGACAGTGATTAAAATCACTATCAAAAATAAACGCTTCGATGCAAATCTTTAGATAGTGTTTAATTTTAAAAAAATTGGTGTTTTATTCCAAAAGCTACTTGATCTGCTGGTTCCTTATTAATATCTCGATAAAGATAAAGTATGGTAAATGAAACAGGGTTTATTAAAAAATATTATTTGTCATAAAAAAATTGTGTAGATCCATAAACTTTTCAATAAGTTATAGCATTATAAAGTTAAATATAATATAAATAATAAAATCGAGAATTTTCACACGAAAAAAGCATTCGGTAGCCATTTTCGCCGTGAAGACAAGTCCAGAGGTCAAATTTTTTTTTTTCAAATTAAAGTATATTACATTAGCTTTAATTTAAGATATATATAAAAGTGTCAGACCTTCCGGAACATTTTCAAAAGTTA